GGCATGGAGACAGAGAGCAGCTGATGCTGAGGACTCTAGATTCATGATTCAAAGAGAGAGACTGAGAGCTGGCAGCCAACAAGCAGACTTATAGATTGTGCCCTTTGGTGGAATACACCGAGTGTTTAAAAAAAAAGGAGCTAAAGTGAATAGAGATAAATACTGTTAACTGATGGTACATGGAGGGGATTATAATCATTGTAATGAAATAATATGTATGACTTGTTGAATGTAAAACTGACGATCTGCCATTTAAACTTGCACTCAACTCACAATAAAAACTTTAAAAAAACAAAAAATAAACACATGATGTCAAACTCCAAAGAATTATAAAAGATCATGTGAATTAGGAAAAAATGTTATAAGAAGTGGCTTAATTTCCTACCAAAATGTCCAGGATCTTTTGAGAAGAATGTGACAAGGAAAAAGTATTTCCTCTTTTTCTGAGATGAAAAGGAAGACAGTATTTTTAAATCATATTATAAATTAGAGATTTACATGAAATTATAAATCAGAGATATACTCCCCCCCTTTTTGTTACACATCTTCTACCTTTATAGTTATGCTAATTGCTATTAGTCATGATACTAATTACTCACTACTGAATCAAAAGAATCCTATCGTCAGACCCATCTAGACAAGATGAAAACAATTCATTGGGGATTCTACCTTCCCACCTTCACTCTAAAACTAAATTTGCTCTTGTAAAGGGGTAAGCTAGCCACTTTGTAGCTTTATAGTCCCAGTTTAGGTAGCCAATGTCTAAGTTGCCCATCCCTATCAACCCTGTGAACTGCAGGGATCAGCTTGATCCTTGATGTGAAGGGTCCTTCCCTCTCGGTTAGCATTTTGAGCAACTACATCCATAATTAAAGGTCAAGTTCATCAAATTGTAGCAACTAATATTTATTTCCCATAGCAAACTTTTCAATATTTTTTTGTTTTGTTTTTTGTTGGGTGCCATTGAGTTGGTACAGACTCATAGCAACCCTCTGCACAAGAGAATGAAACACTGCCCAGTTCTGGGCCAACCTCACAATTATTGCTACTCCTGAGCCCATCATTGCTGTCACTGAGCCAATCCATCTCGCTGGGGGTCTTCCTCTTTTCCTCCAACCCTCCACCTTACCAAACATGATATCCTTCTCCAGTGACTGGTCCTTCCTGATAATATGTCCAAAGTATCAAAGACAAGGTTTGGCCATCCTGGTTTCCAAGAAACACTCTGGCTGTACTTCTTATAACACGGATCTGTTTGTTCTTTTGGCAGTCCATGGTACTTTTAATATTCCCCTCCAACACCATAACTCAAACTCTGCATCAATTCTTCTATGGTCTTCCTTATTCAGTGTCCAAATTTCTCATGCATATGCAAAATACTTACCACGGTAGAAATTAAAACTCAGAACTTTTCAAAATATTTTATCTCATAATAGAAAAAAGAAGTCTGAAGCAACTGACCACAAAGGCAAAAACTGAACAGGAACGGAAGCAGATAAGTATAGTATTCTAAGTGTAACACTCAATATGAAGCCTTACAACACCGCTTGAATATTGGCAGAGTCAGGATGTATTTACATACCTTCTCGGTCAAAAAAACCTTGGAGAGCCTTTTTAGGATCTTTTATATAAAAGGCTTCCCTTTCCTGCTGAAATTCTAAGACAATGGGGTTCTCTTCAGCTTCATCCTCTACAGCATCTTCTCCTACAGGAAATGGGAAAGAAGGAAAAGATACCTTATAAATAAAAGAAACAAAAGAGGTCCTCTGAATGACACCTAATATTCTTCAGGCTGCATAAAGATAAAGTTATCAATGATGAAAAGAAGGTTAGTTGAAAGAGGGAGAGAGAGTGAAAAACAAACACGCAAACTACCATAAATTAGTTAGGAACATTTCAGGTTTTCTAAATTGTGTTATAAGGCAAAAATGTTTTTTCATGGCACCTTAGTTTTTTTAGTTTTTTTTTATTTTTCCCACCACTACATTTATTTATTATTTTATTTTTAAATGTTTCATTGTGAATTATGTGAGTTTACATGGGAGAATATTTTCTTTACATTCATCCTATCGTATATCATTTCATTGCCATGGTTACAATCTCCTTCATGCATCATCAAACAGCCAAAGGGTACACATCACAAGCCTGCTCCCTGGTCATCAGCACACAGCCCCTCTCCCTCTATGGGTCTAGAGTCCCCAGCCGCTCCATCTCTCCACATCATCGCATCATCTCTCCACATCATCGTCTCTACCTCCATCTCTGGCGTCACTGCTTCTCTGGGTAGGGTACCACTCTCCACTCTTCTCCCTTGATGGTCCCAGGGACCTCTGCTCCTAGACTGCATACTCAGTTACTCCCCTCCTTTTGCTACAAAACATCTACTTTTACATTTTCAACCCTCACAGTCAGTCCTGCTAGCAGTTATTCAGTATTGTACCACAAGAGACCTATCCCCATCTCCTTTCATCAGCCCAACCCAGACAGAATGGATACTACTCAGTGGAGAGTCTACCTTCCTCCGTACCCTCTGGATCTAGGTTCCCTCTTGAAAGCTTGTAAGCCAGTCACTTCTCCATTTTGGGTAGCCAACGTCCAAGTTACCCATCCCTGTCTACTCTGTGTATGGAGGGGGTGAGAATGACCCTCGCTCTAAAGATTTGTTCCCTCTTTTGAGTTACTGTATCCATAGGTGTAGGTCAAGTTCATCAAATTGTATCAGATTACTCCTTTTTTTCCTCTTCTTTCTTCTTCTAGTTGAGTTCTCATCATCTAGCCATTGAAGCCAGGTCAAGTGGGTATAATCTGCAAGTGTGGGTGTTCTTGTGCATATGCCCTTACTTCTTATTAGCTGGATGCTTCACTCTCCACGCTAGTCCTCTGTGGCTATGTCACTGACTCTTGGCCCAGGAATCCTCAGGTCTTGCCGTACTGCTGCCCAACCAGGTCTCCACCTGGGTTCACAGGAGTCTACTGAATGTTGTAGGGCTTAGCTCGCAACTTCATCGCTGTTTTTCCCTCACTTCCCCTTATCGGTGACCAACATGGTCACCAGTCAGAGTGCATGTCTGCTTGTGTATTCCCCTTGCGTCTCAGTCTTAGAAGGGAGTTTGCCCTGAGGAGACCCGACCACTTGCCTTGATGTCTCCTGGGCAAGCAACTTGCTTGTTCTTGTAGTGGTCAGTCGGGCTGCCGTTATTGTTTTTTATTTTTCCTGCCAGTCTTTCTATCAAGAAGTATCTTCTGTTCTTCTAGCTGCTCCAGGCTGGTCTGCTTGTCCTTTCAAGTGGAAATTTTCCACCTAGAAGATTCTGGATGGGGTTCAGGATTCCACCTATGGTCTTATGCATGCAGAGCCTCTGCAGGAAGCCTCCTTCACTGGGCAAGTTGTAGCCCCATTTTAGGTATTCCAATCAGTTATAAGCAGAAGAGGGACTTACAAGCTTTCTATGGTGATATTTCTGGCTATTCCTATCTCTCCTCCTCAAGTGTCTATTTTATAATGGTATGCAAGGGAAACCAAGATTCAAAAGACATCCAAGCATTTTAACATTATTTCCCCCAACATTCAAACCATGCCTCAATCCCTGTATCCCAAATTAAGGGATATGCATAAGGTTATGCATACATCATTATTTACCTCTGTCCCACTTAGCCCATGCAAACCTGCCTAACTGTTCTCCCATCTGCCTTGTTCTTCCATTTCCCTCCCCCTACATGTGTATTGCCCCCTCCCCAGCACCCAAACTATTCTGTGTCTATTCCTTACCCTGTGCTCTACCTTCCCCTCCCTCCCCTCATCCCACCTCCCACACACTGGTAACCAGCAAAGAATCCTCCCCCCTTTTAGTATGGGTTCTTTTTTTCAGTCTTTTACAATATACTACCACTGCATTTTAAAAGTAAAATGATTTACCACATTTTCTATGGGAGGTGGGGGGAAATTGATTTCTTTAGACTGGCATTCACTCAAGTCTAATACTGTGTTTCCAATAATTTCCTAATACTTCCCGGATCTGCCAACTAGACTATTCACTGCTCCCTTAAAGTCATCAATCACTACCCTGAACACCACTCACAAGTTCAGCTTCATGAGGGATACTTTTCCTTTCCTTCAAGGATCAGCTCAAGACCCTTCTGCTTACAAATTTAGAGAGTTTCCAAATAGAAATATGCCCAATAGAAATATGAAAGCCATATACAAGGGGGCTTCAAAAAGTTCATGGAAAAATGGAATTTAAAATAAAAATAATGGAATTTTTCCACAAATTTTCTGAAGCCCACCTTGTATATAATCTTAAATTTTCTAGTAGCCACATTAAAAAAGGAAAAAGAAACATATGCAATTATCATTTCAACATGTAGTCAATATAAAAATATTATGAATGATATACTTGACATTCTTTTTTTCTCCACATTAGCTCTATGAAATCTAGTATGTCTTTTATACTTGCAGTACACGTCAGTTTGAATTAGCCACATTTCAAGTGCTCAAAAACTACTTGTGGCTAGTGTGTCTACTGTACTGGACAGAGCAGGTTTAAGTCCTCAGTAACTACTTCCTCTGTAGCATGGTAAGAAGGTAGCTTAACAATTTTAAGCTTTTGTTCAGGACTCTTAAAAAGAAAAACTAAGGAACAAGAATTGACAGATTGCTCTGAATATATAGGAACACTTACAAAGGTCACTACAATACATCCAAAATCAGATAAAAAGAAATAATAATTATAGGCTTTAGATCCAGAGAAGGAGAGCGACTGTGTGCTGAAGACTGGGGGGGAGGGGGTGAGAGTAGTGTAGGGGGCAGGCCAGCAGGGTATACCCTTTGGCTGGTTGATGATGCACGGAGGGGAATGTAACCATGGCAATGATATGATGTACAACAGAATGAATGTAAAACTAATGTTCTCCCATGTAAACTATCATATAATTCACAATAAAAAAAAAAAGGGAGAGACAGACCTTGGCAAAAAAAAAAAAAAAAAAAAAAAAAAAAAATTGAAAACCCCTCTCTGGGATAAGACAATTGTAACCATGAAGCCACTTAAAATTTACCTTGTACAATGAATTTAGCTTTAGGAATCTTCAAATGAATGAGGGGCCATTGAAAGCACTTAGTAACCTGATGTCACCTGATTTTAGAAAGGGGACATGATTTCAATCAATCATGTTGAGACTAGTCAATAGTTCATTTTTGCTGCCTCCTCTTATTTTTCTTAAAAGTCTCATTGTTACTAGCCTACATTGAACCATTTGTTTTTCAGAAGTAGAATGATCTCCTTGCACATATACAGAATAGCTTGAATAAACCCTACATACGTTCATTTCTTTGTGCTTTGATTTTTTTTTTTTTTTTAACAGCACTTAATTCATCATATTTATTCTGTTTTCCCAACTACATATCAAGGTCATTGTCTTATCTTTTTATTTTCCTAGCCCCTGAATATCCACCCTCCAAAATGTATATAAATTTTGTATAAACATACAACCTCTCCATCTATCTAAGAGTTATGAAAAGTTGTATAATAACTATACAGTTACTATAAGTAATACATTTTAAATATTAACCTCTAGCAGCAATTTTAATCTCTTACCCATTCCCCAGGTGCAGCCCATCTCATCATCTTGACTACCAGTATTTCTCTTTCTTTCAGTAGTATCCATTTCCTCTTCTTCATCTGAGTCGTCTCCTAACATCTTCTTCTCCAACATCATTTGTTGCTGCTTGCGTAATTCCTTCAACTGTGTTACTGTTAACTCAGATTCTGCCTCTCGGTCTTCCTCTGGCCCCTGATGAACCAAATGAAAGAATTCATTTAGAGTTCAGGATTGTGGAAGTCACTTTTGGAACTAAGGCAATGGGTATATAAGTCTGGCGTTGATGGATGTTAAAGACGATGAGCTCTCCCTGTTTAAATACATAACTCTTAACTCTTCACAGAAACTAAAAACTCAAGATAAAAGTATTTGTGGGAAATTCAAAAATAATCAGACGAGACAAAACTACTTCCTGTTGATTAAGTGAAACACCACCAATCATTTTAAATTGATCTTTTAGGAAACTCCCTAATAGTTTTTACTGTATACAAGCTATATAGTATCTGATGGGGGCTCCCTGTTCGCATGAGTTTCTTCCACCCAATAAAACATTTTAGCTCTAACTGACTTATTGAATGTATGTTTCTTTCAAGACTTCTGGTACCAAGAGTAGGATCTGGAAAAGGTCCCATGCCAAACCTATGGCTGGTGAATGAACAGGTGCCAGGGCCCATGAGGCCCTTTGTGTCCACTGTTTGACTCATCAATATCACCAAGTCTGAGGTGTCAGTCTCTCCAATATTTGATCTCTGCTCCTTTTGCATTTTGAGCTCCCATTTTATTAAGTGATTCAGACTTGGCTTAACTCAGGTTTGGAATGCAGACATCATGTTGGTAAGTAACCCTTTTACTCTATTTGGGTTAAGATGCATATGAATCCCTGTGTCTTTGGCAGCCATTTAATGAGAACCTATTTAAATATATTCACTGTAGGAATTTGGGGATTCTAAGAATGCTTTCTTCCTATTCTCACTCCAGAATTCTGTGTTTCTTATGCATTCATCTTCTTTTGGTGGTTCCTGCATCATTCAATATTATACCTATTATTGTTGTTGTTGTTGTTAAATGCTGTCAAGTCAGTTCTGAATCATAGCAACCCGAGGCTTTAAATCTTCGTGGGAGCAGAAAGTCTCATCTTTCTCCTATGGAATGGCTCTTAAACTGAAACTAAGCTGAGATCAATGCACCTCACATAGATGACATCACAAGGTAAAAATCTTCCACCCAAGACTGGGGATCAAATCCATGGCTGAGTCAAAATGATTCTTTAATTCTCTGCTCAGATGTGCCTCCAATTCCCCAAATGGCAAGGAATTTGTGAATTTGGATATTTAGTTCCAAACTTCAAATTCTTGAACTCTTAATGCTAGCCAAATTTAAATCTAGGATGTTTTGTTTATTTACTTAAAAGGAATTCCAAACCTGCAATTAATTGAACTTCTGACTTTCATTCCTTTGTTAGGGCAATTGTCCCTTCAAAAGGGAATCAATATATCAAGTCTGTAGAGCTATTTTTTTAAATTCTACTTTTTAAGTGCTGGCATTTGGCATGGCACTGTGGGATAAAGCACTGAACTGCAAGGTTGGTTTGAACCACAAGGTCACAGGTTCAAATCCACCAACCACTCCTCCAAATCCCATACCGGTTCGCTATGTGTCAGAACTGACTCAATGGCACTTAATACAACAACATTTAAGAACAGTCAAAGTTAAAATACTAATATAGCCACATGCTAGTAAGACTAAGTAGATAACCAAGATGATATTATTAAAGAAAATCCCCTCTCCCATTTTTAACTGAACTCTTAACCCTCACAGAAACTAAAAACTGGTAATAGCCTTTTTTTTTTTTTTTTTTTAAATAAGCACTGGACAGCAAGGTGGTAGTTCAAACCCACTCGCTGCTCCTTAGAAATCCTATACAGGGTCACTATTGAGAGGATTTTAATAGGTTTTTAGTTATCTATGTTTTAACCCTTTTTAATCATTGTTCCCAATCATTACTGCCCTGACTAATTTCTCCCTTGTGGAGCCCAACATGTAGCTAAAGGACATAGTGGTGTCTTGTAAATTAAAGCTCAGAAGAAACAGACAAGTTGGGAGGAGGAAAACTAGCAGAGATAAAGTGTCTGGCCCCCAGGTGTCTTCAATACTACCACCCTTTAAAGGGAAAGGAGGAGTTACTCCAGAAGGTAAAGGGCTGTGAGCTGGTGGCTGCAAATGCACTACGCGAGGGGAGGGGACATTAAACTCTGAGAAGGGAATGTGACAATAACAAATGGGTTAATATCCAGGAGGGTATACAAACTCCAACTGTTGGGAAGACAAGGTAATCTTTGGAAAAGCATTCTCACTGCCTTCCAGACGGTCAATAAAACACATACTGATTCTCACCGCTTCTCCGTTACTGGCTGTAGCGGCTGACGGTCTGACTTTAGTCCAGTAAGAGTCTGAGTCGGAACCAACTCGACAGCACCTAATAAACCAATCAAAGCCATCTCCTGCCGATTAAGTAAATCACAGCCAATTATATTTTTTTTCCTTTTGGGAACTCTCCGAACAGATTGTACTGTAGAGCTTATCGTTTAAATGCCGTCGGTTCCAACTCATAGCGACCCTGTGTGGGATTTCTGAAGGGTGGCTGGTAGGTTTGAACCACCAACTTTGCAGTTAGTAATCCAGTGCTTATCCTATAGCTAATCAAAATTGAGGAATCCTGGTGTGGCACTGTGAGTTAATGCACTGGACTGTAAAGTCGGTTTGAATCGCAAAGTCGGCAGTGCAAGCTCACCAGTCGCTCTTCGGAAACCCTATGCAAGGTCGCTATGGGTCCGAACCAACTTGATAGCACTAAACAACAACAACAATCAAACTTGAAATCTGGAGAGGCCATCTGTTTTTAAAGGGTGCTCCCTGTTTGAGGAGTTTTTCCATCCATCTAAATGAGTTACCGGATTCCTGGTGTGGCGCTGTGGGTTAATGCGCCAGACTGCAAAGCCGTTTGAACTAAAAGGTCGGCGGTTCAAGCTCACCAGCTGCTTCTCGGAAACCCTATACAGGGTTGCTATGGGTCGGAATCGACTCGACGGCACTTAACAACAACAAAAAATGAGTTACTGATCAGATTTTTTTCTTTCTACGGGGCCCAGGTGCCTCCAATTTTTTTTGAATCGCTGATTAGGAATATCTCCATCCTTGGCTTAAGTTGTTTACGGAGCTCAGGTACCCAGACCAAGAAGGTCCCGAAACTCCAATTCTAGATTTCTTATTTACCTGCAGAATAAAGAGCCTGGTGCTGCCTCCAAAGCGAAGAACATGTCCGACGTGGACCCGGCAATAGGTGCGGGGTGGGACGCGAGTTTTGTTAAGAAAAGTTCCATGGGTGCTTCCTAGATCGTAGAGGTAGAAGCCGGGCCTGTGGCCGTCGCATTCTTCGCCGGGGCCGGACACTCTGTGCTGTAGCACGGCGTGGTACCGAGACACCGAAGGATGCTCCAAGCACACGTCGCAGGTAGACAGTCGCCCGAAAACACAGTGACTCGTCCCTTTCAAGCTACGGGTGCAAAGAATAGTGCCTCCCTTCAAGGTCTCTAGGCTGTAAGCGGCGGTAGCCGGCCCGCCCCACGGCGGCTCTTGATAAGCAGGTGCCCGAGACGCACCGCCAAGAGACGAATCCGCTGTAGAGGGTGGAAGCTGCTCCTCCAGGGAGCCGCTAGTTTTCTCGCTGTCCGGCCGGGCAGGCGGAACGTCAGGCTCCCCGGGATCAGGGTCCAGCAGCGCCGTGGGTCTGTCTTTCTTCACCTCCTCAGCGTTGGAGGGACTGGTGACCGGGGCCTTCCCCCGCAACGCTGGGGGTACCGGCAAGGAAGGCTTCTTGAAGTCGCCACTGAGTTCCAGCGGAGCCGATGGCTCTAACTGAGAGGGGAAATCGGCCATCCTCAGCCCGGTGACCTCTCGAAACTTGTTCCTGGAAATTCTTACTCCTCGGTCGCTACGTTCCTTTTCACGCCTCCTTCTCTCCAGCTGCCAGCGGATTCTTTCGGCAATAATGTTGCTTCTTCGTGACCCAGAACATTGGAAAGTGGTGCCGTAACAATGGAAGGTTATAATAGGAGAAAAACAGAAAAAGAGCGCTATGCAGAATGGGGACCTTTTTATAAGTTGCACTAGGATAGTAATAGCTTCCTGTGGTAGAAGAATTGAGAAGACGCGCTTCCGGCAGACTTGAACCAAAGTAACAAACCAGCTTTCTGGGCGTGACGCGACCCTCTAAAGGTTTTAGGAGTCACTAGTGGCACCTTCTTGCATTGGTGCAGGTTCGGACCTCCCAGTCTTCCGCTGCCCCGAGTATCAGGCACCCAAAGACGCTGTGGTGGGCGCCTGCTGACTGACTAAGGAGCCTCGCGGATAGTCTCCGGCATCCTTTGAATTTGGTGCCTGTCCTTCACCTCCCTTCTCACTCTTCCGGTGAAGGTAAGCAAATTTTTCGAAAACTTCATTCATTCATTCTTTCCGAAATCAATTATTAAGGCAGGTAGTGTAGTGGTAATTAGTGCGGAGTCTGAAGCCCACCTATCGTGATTCCCTCCATGGCCACTTGAAACATGTGAAAAAATGTAATAATATCTACTTCATAAGAGTTATTTGGAGAATTGAATTAAATAATAAAGGCAAAGCCTGGCTGCAAAAATAGTGTGACAGCAAACCATACCTCCTACAAGCATCCTACTTAACTGGGTTCTAAAATGCACTGCAATGGCCACACAGAACTTAGACACCATATTAACAGTTATAGAGTTTAATGGGGAAGTTGCTGTTGTTCAGTGCCATCAAGTCGTTCTGACTCATAGCGACCTGGTATAGGGTTTCCAAGGAACAGCTCGTGGGTTTGAACCACTGACTTTGCAGTTTAGCAGTCCAGTGCTGATCCTACAGTGCTACACCAGGACTCCAATACAGGATCAGAACATGCTCAGGGCACAGTGGTTCCAGCCAACTGCTGATAAATGCCCACAGGACACACCTAAACCTTAGCCTGAAGGTGCTCAGGCTCTAGTTCCATGGGTCAGCAAACCTAGCTCCCCATTTAAGTGTCTGGAGACACCCCACTCCACAAGCCAGCTTCCTGCCCAAAGTCACTGAGCTTTACTTGCTCCGCTGGCTGGGAAGCCCCCTGCTCTGGCTTGTGCTCTGGTTCTTGGTTCTGCTACTGCTGCTTCTCTGCTACTACTCTGGTGTCACAGCTTTCTGTCCCTGGGTCGAGGTTCACGTGCAGGGATCTCGGGATCCAAAGAACTACTCCCCTCCTGGATCTTCTTCTTTGATGGCACCAAGATCCACCCCTCACCCTCCACCTCCTACTTCTATAAAAAGATGTTTCATTTTATATCCATGCTACAGTTTCAAGTGTTTACAATTTCAGTGAACTCTGCTAGCATCCACAGCTGAGCCATATCGTCCAGTCAGCATTTCTCCCACCTGGAAGTCCTGGTGTGGCACTGTCAGATAAACACTGGTCCACAAGGTGATTTGAACCACAAGGTCAGTGGTTCAAACTCACCAGCCACTCCTTTGAAACCCTAAGAGTCAGAATCAACTCAACAGCACTTAACTACTAGTAGTACTCTCTTACCCTGACCCAGCAGGGCAGAAATGTTGTTTGGTGGGAGTTACAGATTATAGCTAAAAGACGCATTAGATAATTCACTACACCGCATTGGTACATAGTGTTACTATTGCTGTGTGCCAATGAGTCAATTCCAAATCCTGGTGACCCTGTATAGGGTTTCCTTTATGGGAGCAGACAGCCTCATCTTTCTCCCAAGGAGTAGCTGGTGGATTCAAACTGCTGACCTTACAATTACCAGACCAACGCGTAACCTACTATGCCACCAGGGTTCCTGGTACATAGTAAGCACTTAATAAATGGTATACAACATCTGGTATCCAGTAATATCTAAGATAATAGCCATGAGAAGTAGATATTAGGATTGTGATTATAAATCCTAGTTAAAATCCAGGAAGAAATACTGTGAAGGACACGTGAAGAATCAATGAAGGGAGATGTCCTGGAAGGGTGATAGAGCGGGTGATTTAAGTTGTACTTAAAAATGAATACATCTCCACTGAGTAGTATCCAATCTGTCTAGGCGGGGTGATGAAATGAAATGCGGATAGGTCTTTTGTGATACAATAATGAACAATTGTTATCAGGACTGATTGTGAGGATTGGAAATGTAAAGGTAGACGTTTTGTAGCAAGGAGGGGGAGTGATTAACTTTGCAGTCTAGGAGCGGAGGTCCCTGGGTCCACCAAGGGAGAAGAGTGGAGAGCGGGATCCTACCCAGAGAAGCAGTGATGCCTGAGATGGAGTCAGAGATGTATGACGTGGAGAGATGGAGCAGCTGGGGACTTTAGACCCAGAGAGGGAGAGGAGCTGTGTGCTGATGACCAGGGGTACGGGTTGGGGGCAGGCTTGTAATGTATACCCTTTGGTTGGGTGATGATGCATGGAGGGGATTGTAAGCATGGCAGTGAAACAATATACAATGGGATGAATGTAAAACTAATGTTCTCCCATGTAAACTATCACATAATTCACAATAAAATATTTTAAAAAAAGAACACATAGTGGTTAAAACTAGGGGGTAAGGAAACTATAGTACAGGAAATGGTAAAACCAGAATGCAAATAATGAAAATGCTGATGCATTGTGAAAAATGCAACTAATGTCACTGAACAATTTGTATAGAAACTGACATATGGAAAACTAATTTGCTGTGTAAACATTCACTGAAAACACAATAAAATCTTATTAAATATTATATATATATAAATAGAATGAATACAAGTCTGCCAGGGATGTGGGGGGGTTTCTAGCAGAGACTGCAGCTTAAACATTCAATAGTGAAAGTGCCTGGCATTCTCAAGAAACGGAATATTATGATATTGTTAGAACTACAGTGGTCATTTACTCAGGAAGCTCCGCCTTGATGCTTCCCATGTACTAGACTTATGCCTCTAGAACAGCACTTAACATAGACTTTCATGTTGAAATATACTGTTTATATTTCTTTCTCACCTTAGGTTAGGGATTTTGCATTATTGGTCTTTGCCTCCATACACAATGCCTGGCATTTAAGAAAAGTTCATTGGACTGGAAACATACGGGAATCTGAAAAGGTGGGTTGGAGCCAAAATGTGGATTTTGTTCAGTGCTAGATCAAAGAATTATGGGGTTTTTTTGTTTTTTTTTTTCAGTAGGCAGTAAGAAGCTACTAAAGCTGAGGACTAGAAATATTAAGTGTGGAGAATAGATGAGACACAAATTGAAACTAGAAGGTATACCAATTAGGTCACAGAAATCTCTCCAGTTCTTCTCTATACGTTATGTCAGAAGTTGAAAACATAAGGCCATTTAGAGTAGTGTCTCATCAACTTTTCCACTAGGGCCAGTTATAAGATTCCCATGCTTGATGTGCACAAAGTAAGAACCAATGTTTTCTATCTTTACTCCAGTCTCTCTCACTGATATAGGACAGATGTGTTAGGAAACTCTAATGGGTAATACTCCACGATTCCTACTTAATCCCTTGCAAATTGTTCCGGATTAGGCATGATGGTAGTTCTAGTAATGAATTAGTGATGAGATGGAAAATAATGTGGACACTAGAGAGCCCCAGATATCGTTCCAACTATTAGTGTAGTATTGTTTAATACAGTTCAGGACAGTAGAAGGTATCACTGTGATTTTTGATGACTAACACTTGATAGTTATATTTTAATTTCTTCAGGTAGAACATCGTTGGTTCCACAGTTTTGCTGACACTGACATTTCTCTTAAGTCATCTTGAACAGCCTCCTTCTTATGTAAATAGCTGGCTAGACTTCATATTTTTTCGTTGGACATCATTAACATTTAGCTTGAGAGCTCTTCCCATTTTAGTCCAAAATGTTGAGATATTGGGGGGAGATACCAATCTCATCAAGCCAGACCAATAGAAGTTCCTTTGATTTGCTTCCACGGGAGTTCCGTCTGGTAGAAGTCCATGACCCACCCCTACACCAGCCTTCAGCCAACAAGCCCAGGCCCCCCACTATGTTGGACATCCCATCAGAGCCATGCAGCCTCACTATCCACACCATTCAGCTGATCCAGCACAACCGACGTCTGCGTAACCTCATTGCCACAGCTCAGACCCAGAATCAGCAGCAGACAGAAGGTGTAAAGACTGAAGAAAGTGAACCACTTTCCTCCTGCCCGGGATCGCCTCCTCTACCTGATGACCTCCTGCCTTTAGATTGCAAGAATCCCAATGCACCATTCCAGATCAGGCACAGTGACCCAGAGAGTGACTTTTATCGGTAAGTCAAGTCTTTACTATGTCTTACTTTTCTCAAATAATTCTCCAAACAGTCCTGACAAGTATATAATGTTGTTATTGTTGTTGAGTGCTGTCGAGTCAGTTCTGACTCATAGTGACCGTGTATAGGGTTTCCGAGGAGCAGCTTGGTGGATTTGAACCACTGACCTTGTGGTTCACAGTCCAGTGCTGATCCTATAGTGCCACACCAGGAGTCTAAGTAACAATAGCATTTTCATTTTCCACATGAGGAATCTGAGGAGAAAAGATAGTAACTGACTTGGCAAAGGTTGCACAGATTATTAGAGGGAAGTGTTAAGTCTTGAACTTCAATCATCTGAACCCAGTGGCAGCTGTATTCTTTCAATTTTTGATACAGCAAATATTTACTTCGTATGTGCCAAGAAGCACAGTGGCTCTGTAAGATAAGCACTGGAGTGTGAACCACAAGGTTAGTGGTTCAAGCCCACTAGTCAGAAAGATGAGGCTTTCTGCTCCCATGGAAATTTACAGCTTTGGAAACCCTATACAGGGTCACTGTAAGTCGGAACAACAACTACTGTGTGTAAAGCACTTCATTAGGAGCAAAGTACTACACTGGAATGTAAATATGGCATGGCCTCACAGCCCTTATGATCTGTCTGATTTAAGAGCAGCCCTGATGGCACTGGATCACTAACCATAAGATTGTCAGTTCAAAACCACTAGTCACTACAAGGAAGAATGCTGAGGCTTTATGCTCCCATAAATGGATTTATAGCCTCGGGAACTCTATACAGGGCTGCTATGAGTCAAACCAAACCCAACTCGATGGCATTGAGTTTGGTTCGGTTTGATTTATTAATGAGTTTGAGGAGCCTTGGTAGCACAGTGGTTAAGCATTCAGCAGCTAACTAGAAGGTCAGTGGTTTGAACTAGCTGTCACTCCTTGGGAGAAAGATGTGGCAATCTGCTTCTATAAAGATTACAGCCTTGTTACTGGTGCCGTCAAATCAGTTCCGGAACACTGCCTCGTCCTGCACCATCCTCACGATTGTCATGATTGAGTCCATTGCTCCTCCCATTGTGCACATTCATCTCATTGGGAGGAGGTCCTCCATCTTTTTTAATGACCCTCCACTTTACTAAGCATGGTGTCCTACAGGGACTAGTCCCTTCTGATAACATATCCAAGTATGAGTCATACCTTCATGGATTATAAGGAGCATTCTGACTATATGTTTGTTCTTCTGGCATCCACGGTTCTTTCAATATCTTCTCCAACACCACAACTCAGATACATCAATTTTTCTAATGTCTTCCATATTCATTGGTCAACTTTCACATGCATATGAGGCTACTGAAAATACCCTGACTTGGGTCAGGCGCACCTTAGTCCGCAGACTCCTATCTTTGCTCTTGAACACTTTAAACAGGTCTTGTGAAGATTTGCCTACTGTAATACATCTTTGATTCCTTGACTGCTGCTTCCATGAAGTGTTGACTATGGATCCAAACAAAAGGAAATCTTTGACAACTTCAATCTTTTCTCCATTTATCATGATGTTATTTACTGGTTCAGTGGTGAGGATTTTTGTTTTCTTTACACTGAGATGCAATCCATATTGAAGGCTTTTGATTTTCATCAGTAAGCATATTTTAAGTCCTTTTCACTTACACCAAGCAAGGTTGTTATCATCTGCATTTTGCAGGTTGTTAATGAGTCTTCCTTCAACTCAGATACCATGTAATCCAGCTTCTCAGATTATTTGCTCAGCATACAGATTAAATAAGTATGATCAAAGAATACAATCCTGGCACACACCTTTCCTGATTTTAAACCATTCAGTATCCCCATGTTCAATTCGAACGACGGTCTTTTGGTCTACATACAGGTTCTTCATGAGCACAATGAAGTTTCTGAAATACTCGTTCTTTGCAATGCCATCCATAGCTTATTATGATCCACATAGTCAAAAGCCTTTGCATAATCAATAGAGTACAAGTAAACAATTTTCTGGCATTCTCTGCTTTCATTCAAGAGCCATCTAACATCAGCAACAATAACCCTTGTTCCACATCCTCTTCTGAACCTGACTTAAATTTCTGGCAGTTCCCTGTCAATGTACTATTGCAGCCTTGGGAATCCTACAAAGCAGTTTCCTGCCCTGTAGGGTTACTATGAATTGGAATCGACTCAATGGCAATGGGTTTTTGATAAACATATTAAAGTGGCTGGGAGGTGAAAACCATCGACCTTTCTGCTTCACATTCAAGCACTATAACTACTGTGCAATCATGACTTCTCATATATATACACTTTTGTTTTCCAAACATTTAAAAATTATTTACAAGCATCACAACATTTCACCCTAAATTTTTCAGCTTGCATAGCCTAAAAATAAGGAAATGTTTCTACATAATCACCATACTGTTATCACACCAAAGCAATTGTTGTTTAGGTGCCATTGATTTGGTGCCAACTCATAGCGACTTTATGCATAGCATAACAATACACTGCCCGATCCTGGGCCAACCTCACTGTTGTTGCCATGCTTGGGCCCATTGATGATGCCACTTGGCCAATCCATCTCGCTGGCGGTCTTTTTCTCTGACCCGCCACCTTACCAAACATATCCTTCCCCAGTGACTGGTCCCTCCTGACAATTATGTCCGAAGTATGAGAGACAAAGTTTGGCCATCTTGGCCTCCAAGCAGCACTCTGGCTGTACTTCTTCCAACACAGATCTGTTGGTTCTATGGGCAGCCCATAGCACTTTCAGTATTATTCTCCAATACTATAACTCAAAAGCATCCATTCTTATATGCTCTTCCTTATTCACTGTCCAACTTTCACATGCATATGAGGTTATTGAAAATACCATGGCTTGGGTTAGGCGAACCTTAGTCCTCAAGCTGACACCTTAATAATATCATCTGTTGTAGTGCTGTAGGAAGTACTGGATTTCAAGGTCTATTTGAACCGTAAGGTTGGTGTGCTTCAAACCCATCAGCCAAACCTCAGAAACCCTATACAGGGTCATTATGTGTCAGAACTAACTCAGTGGCACTTAACAATATGTACATTTTACATTTCTCTGACTGTCCATGGGAATGAAGGTGGAAACCCCAAATGAAAAGTTACTTTACTTGAAACCCATTATCTTATTTCCCAACTATTATGTGAATTGCAATAGTTGCTACTGAACAGATAATGGCTTCTCGAGCATTGTACATGGAGACCAGGAAAAGGTGATTTCTTTTGTGCTCTGCTTTATTCCTATATGTGATTATTTCTTTTGTCAGAGGGAAGCAGAGGACAGAGAGACATTTTCAGGAGGTGGGTAAATTACTAGAGGCTTCTTTAAAGTTATTTTTAAGAGATCAGACAAGTTTTAGAAGTTTTGGGGCAAGATTGAGATTTTTACAGTAATGATTAGGAGCAAAATGGCATCTCATAAAGACCATTGTGTCAGAGGCTCCACTGCTTACTGTTGTTATGTGCTGACAAGTTGGTTCTGACTCAGCGACTCTGTTATAGGGTTTCCGAGTAGCGGCTGGTGGATTTGAACCACTGACTTTGTGGTTAGCAGTCCAGTGCTTATCTTAACAGCACTATACTAGGACTCTACCACTTACTAGCAACACATAAATAACTTTTGTCAAGTCAACCCAAATGGACCTTATCAATTTTGCATCATAGGAGAAGCTGAAAATTTTGTTAAGTTGTGCATAGTTTAAATTGCTTTTACAAAATTGAGTTACCTTTTTTTCTTTAATGATCCCTTATAAAGAATTTCCTAATTGGGAGTCTGAATTTCTGAAAGTCTGTATGTTACCCAAGGTGTGAGGAAATGATTAATAAGAAATTAGAACACCATTAAGTAGTGTCCAAACTATGCTGTGAAAATTAATCCGATTCTGAAAGTGATCAAAATTGAGCAATTGGTAGGAGAGCCAAGGAAACTTAACAGGATATCCTTTTGCACTGATTAAAACATTTTATTAACATGTATTGCCTATTCAAACTTTCTGTATGTAATTGAAGGAGCTCAGAAATAGGGTCTAGGTTGGTGAGACATGCCCCGACAGCAGCAAAATGAAACTGGACTACGTAACCTGGATAAGATTTCCCTGGAAAGCAGGGACAGCGGTTTGACTGGAATTGCAAAACCCTTAAGGAGACAGGTCACCCCTTTGCGAGAGCAGTAGTAACACTATCGTATCCCCCCTTTCAGTGGAAAAGGGGAACCTGTGATTGAACTCAGCTGGCACTCCTGTCGACAGCTCCTCTACCAGGCAGTGGCCACAATCCTGGCCCACGCAGGCTTTGAGAGTGCTAATGAAAGTGTCCTGGAGACCCTAACTGATGTGGCACATGAGTATTGCCTTAAGTTCACCAAGTTGCTGCGCTTTGCTGCGGATCGGGAGGCTCGGCTGGGACAAACTCCTTTCCCTGACATTATGGAGCAGGTATTCCATGAAGTGGGCATTGGCAGTGTACTTTCCCTCCAGAAGTTCTGGCAGCACCGTATCAAGGACTATCACAGTTACATGCTACAGGTGAGATGTACATGCTACAGGTGAGATGACCATGTGGAGGAATGAGCAAGTGTCCAGTCTAGAGGTGTTCATCAGGTTTCTACAACACTTGTTCTAGAATGCAGAATGCAGGGTCTTAGAACTTAACCAAGTTTTCTCATAGCCCTAGATGTGTTCCATTGGGCCTCATCACTGACTTAGCTAGACTCCAAGGGCTTCCTTTAGTCAGTGAATGACCCCTTATGATGAAAAAGCTTTCTCTGAAAGGAATTAAAGACAGATACATGCAGTCTGAGAGAATGTGGTTAGCATGCTTTTCTTCATCAAGAATTTAGTGAGTGCCTGTTCTGAGTCAGGCACTGTGGGATACTACAGTTACCATGACAAGTTCCTAGGACTTGCATTTTTATTGAGGAAGAAACTAAGTGCTAAGTGCTATGAGACACAAACAACATAGGATGGGAAGGACACCTTTTTTGGTTAGAACCAGAAACATCTAACATATATTCAATACTTGTGGCCTTAAGCATGTCATCTGTTCACTGTTATTTCTTAAATCTAAAACATGATTAAGTTTTTAACACCCAACAAAAAAAGTCTTTGCCAAGTGACTCAGATTTCCACACCATTCATTATATACCTAGATAGTATGTCTAGCATGCCAAGTGTTGTCATGGCCAAAATAATTTGATTTACCTTTAACCAATCTAATTTTATCTTTCACCTTACACACAAATGCTCACTGCCAAACTTCCTTTACATGTCTCTGTCACTTATAAACACACCCAACACAAAACAAGTTCCTTCCAGTGGCAATGGATGGTTTACAACTCTTTTGTTGTTAGCTCCTCCATGAGATGCAACTTGCTTTTAACATTTCTTGGAAAATGAACTCTCATCAACAGATTAGTAAGCAACTCTCTGAAGAGTATGAAAGGATTGTCAATCCTGAGAAGGCCACAGAGGATACCAAACCTGTAAAGATCAAGGAAGAACCTGTGAGCGACATCACTTTTCCTGTCAGTGAGGAGCTGGAGGCAGATCTTGCTTCTGGAGATCAATCACTGCCCATGGGGGTCCTCGGGGCTCAGAGTGAACGTCTGCCATCTAACCTGGAGGTTGAAGCTTCACCACAGGCTTCAAGTAAGAGAAATCAATTTACTTTAATTGTAGAAGATGTGCTCATCTTTTTTGCATTTTGGAAACAAGCTCTGGAGGTGGGAAATCAAGTTGGAGTGGCCAGAATAAAAGTGCTGAAACAAATACAGCATCATAAATCTAAAGATATATCAACCCTTTTCTCTTTGGAGTTGGTGAAGAGAAGACTAGCACACCTTTACAGGACTGCTTTAAAATAATTCCTAGTTAGGATACAGATACTGTATCTGTTATCCTTTTGGTATTACTAGGGTTGATTTAGTTGTTACAACTTTTTTCCTTAGTATTCTATATTGGTTCACCCTTAAGCTTGTACTTAAGACAACTGCCAGATAGATGGAAGACTGTTAATTGCTCAAGAATGTTTATATCGTTGGGTTTCCTTGAGTATTCCATCAACTTGGGGGTGAAAGGGACTGAAATAGAGCTAGCCAGTAAAGTGGAGGGAGTAGAAAGGAAGATATGCCGAGTTGGTTACTTTTTGATGATGAAAAAGACTAACAACTATATTATTCTCCAGTCAGGTACCAGGGTCATAGTGGAAACTGAGCTCAAAGAGCATGCCTGCCCTGGGGTGGTATATATTCTACTTTATTCTACCTTTGGCTTACCACTAGTTGTACGAACAAGTTTTATTCAATCTCTTACTAGGTGCAGAGGTAAATGCTTCCCCACTTTGGAATCTGGCCCATGTGAAAATGGAGCCTCAAGAGAGTGAAGAAGGTAATGTCTCTGGGCATGGCGTACTGGGTAGCGATGTCTTCGAGGAGCCCATGTCAGGCATGAGTGAAGCTGGAATCCCCCAGAGCCCGGACGACTCAGACAGCAGCTATGGTTCCCACTCTACTGATAGCCTCATGGGGTCCTCCCCTGTCTTCAACCAGCGCTGCAAGAAGAGGATGAGGAAAATATAAAAGGGAGATTTTCTGTACAAACCTCATAAGAAACAACAGGAAATCTTGATGTATTAGAATGTCTCCATAAATAATTATTTGACTCTTATTCTTAAATCCTGTGGATTGTTCTGATTTCCATGCTACTGGATTTAAGGTTACATTTTATTTTTACATTGTTTTTGTACAGTTTTCCACAGCAACCAAGCTACCATTCAGACAGAATGCAACACTGAAATGATAATTGGGAAACCAAAGCACTGCCTTGATTCTTGTCTTTATTGACTGTACAAATCACTTTGCTTCTCTAGAGCCTATTGTTTATACATCCAAGAAAACTTATACCTTCCTATCAATATTATAAGGATTGAGTTGTTTGGTAAATGTCAAAGTATGCTTGAATTGACTCACAATGTTTTTTGGTGTTTTTTTTAGCATTTAAATTGCTTCCCTTTTTGTTCAAGTCATTGGGAATCTAGTATCCTGGTGTGGCACTGTAGGATAAACACTAGACGGTTAGCTACAAGGTTGGCTGTTCAAACTCACCAACTGCTCCTCAGAAACTCTATATATACAGTGTCACTAGGAGTCAGAACTGACTCCCCAGCCCTTAACAACACATCTGCTGTGGCCTTTTTAACTGTTCTGCTTATACCTGCTGCCATCAAGTCTACTCTGATTCCTAGCTACCCTATTGTAGACTTATTCTTTAGGGTTTCCAAGACTCAGTCTTTATTATGAGAGTAGATAGCCTCATCTTTCTCCAAGGAGTGACTGTTGGGTTCTATGTACCAACCTTTCAGTTAGCAGCCAAGTGTTTCATCCATTGTGCCACCTATGGAGTCTCCTAAAATTAGAGGGCTGCTTCCTTTTTCCTACTTTTACCATGTGTAGTTCTTTGTTTCATTCCACCACCACCCCCACACCCACCCCCCAATTTTCTCCTTTGAGAATGGCGCAGGCAGGCCTTGTCTGAGCACAGGCCTGTGCTTACTCCATTTGTTGTTGTTACTTGACCATCAGAGGTCAGAAGTCTCTACCTCTGCCAGTGGTCTACACATTGTGCTTCTGGTACTAAATGACTTTTCTGCTTTACAAGAGGGCTTCAAAAAGTTTTTGGAAAAATTCCATTACCCTTTATTTCTATTTTTCCATAAACTTGTTGACACTCCCTCATTCTGTTTCTCATCCTTTGGTGTCTGCCCTGTCTGGCATCTGATAGTCTCTAAGTATTTATTAAGTAAAGGATGTTGCACTAGTAATTAGGAATAATTAGCAAATGAGTGCTTTATGCGTCGGTAACGGATGCTAACATGCTAGTGTTTTAAGTTTGGCATTCTTAAATCTATGACATACAGACTACTTTTTTAATGTAAAGACCCAAAACCCAGGCATAACTTTAATAATCATCACATGATTGAGTGCCTTAAATATTTCCAGGCATTGAGAATAAACATGACTTCAGTCACAATAAAATAAGGTTACATAATTTCTGATAATTTATGAATTTGCTAACTGTGCTACCTTACATCCTTAAGCACATTTATTTAAATCTCCTGTTCTAACCCTAACTTCATTTTCCCTCATGTATTAGTGAAAGTGGCCAGAGGTAGGCAGTTTCCTTAAAGTAACCATCTGGGTATTTGTCAACTTAGCAAGCATTTATGGAGTACCTATTATATGCTAGGTTCTGTACAAGAGACAAGGGAAATTACTCTTTAAGGAGGAAGCTTACAGAGGCACTAAGGAGGAAAACCAAGTATGTGCAGAGATTTTTTTGCAACTTTATCATATTTTTAAACCAGTGGTTCCCACAAGGTATAAAATATTAAAATACTTCATGGCAAAATAAGACTTTTATTGTTTCAGAATACTTAGAAATAGGCACCAGATGATGGGAGATTAGGGTACTTTGATAGCCTAAAATTCAAAAGGTTATGTGAGGATTGGTAGCTGCGATTCACAGGCCTGGAATTATGCCATGAGCTGTGAGTTGGAGAAGTGGTCTCAAACTTTGCAGGGCTTATTAAAACAGATTGCTGGGCTCCCTCACCCAGAGTATAATTTAGCTGCTGTAGAGAGGGGCCTAAGAATTTGCATTTCTGACAAGTTCCCAGGTGATCATGCTGATGCACCTGTCTCAAGGACCCAGGCTTTGAGAATTACAGAGCTAGAGACAGCAGGACTGGCTTCTTGAGAGAAATACACTGTTTTAAAATAAAATTAAGTAGTTGGAGACAGAACAAACTCTTACTACAGCTGTTACATATGGAATGTGCATATGACCCAAGTCCAGGTCCTAAAGATGACAAGATTAAGACCAGTAGAAGGCCTGTAATCAGCTTAATTATTAATCACTCACTAGGAAAGCTGAGAACTCAGAATATAAAACTTTTGTGGTATTATATCCTTTAACATCTCTGTTCCTCTTATTGGCCACATGTTTAAGATTTTGTTTTCATGATTTTGCTTTGCTAAGTTCAAAATACAATACAGCCAGAAACCTAGCTCTGTCCCTGATCACTACGTATGTAAGCACAAAAGAAACTTCAGTAAACATTACCTCCTTATTGAGACACTTTTAGAAATGTGGCTTTAAGCCTCCCTCCTATTGAAAACAAAACGTGAATCTATTTGGGATGACAGAATTTTTTCATCTGAAATCACAACAGATTGGCTTACAAAAAAATAGTCATCATCAAAAGGATTCTTATTCATTGTGTGTTTTGCTCACTTTCTTTAAGAGATCTAAAGTTCTACAATGAATTTTTGAGCCACATTTCATACCAACATTGACTAGTTGCCAAGGATATTCCATTACCACCCTGGACAAAGTATTGTTTCCCCTCTCCCTTTTCTCTAATAGGAGAGGATTCTTACTGCAAGGACTAGAGCAAGGTGATGGGAAAGTAAAAGATATAGATCCAACCTAAAAGAGACTTGAAGTAGTCACCAGCCGAGTAGCTTCTCTCTTATCTGTCCATCAGCGGCAAAGGTACTTGAATTCTAAATGATGATAAAACTTGAAGTTTCAGGCTTGAAGGGACATCAGCTTCCAAAAGCAGTCAGTATATCCTTTCTTGTAAGTCTACAGGGAAAGGCTAAGAGAAATCAGCATCTACCTTCCAGGGCTGAAAGTTCTCTATCTCTGGCTTCATCTGAGTCATGAGATTTCTCTAATAAGGGACCTCTGCTACTCTGAAGAAAATTGTCCTTTATGGTAGCCCACAGTCAGAGTAGTAAGGGTATTTCCTTCATACAGAGTTATACAATTTTGGACTTCAAGAAGCAACTGAAGTTTCCAAGTCTCTCCTATTTGTTGTTTCTCTTCCAGTACTGTGCCATTGACTCTTGCATAAAATTCTGGAATGCTGGCTCTTCATGGCTTTCCTCTGTAACTGCAAAGAAAAATGAAGAGCAATGCTTTGTCAATCTCCTATTAGACAGGTGGACCAGAGCCTTTGTCACCCTTCTATCTAAGAAAGTGCTTGCTTCTCCCAATAAGGAAATGTCTCCCAAAAGCATGCTCTGATTATTATCATGTTGCCCAAAATGTACTATTTATCTGTAAGTAGGGAGAATCCCTTCCTCATAGGGAAAGTTATACAATGAAGCCCCAGTCCTAAGGCATTTTTATCCAAGAGAAATGAAATGAGTCCTCATTCCTAAATGTGAATATTTATAGCAGCCTTATTATTCATAATAGCTGAAATCTGGAAACAATCCAAGTAGGAAATGGATAAACAAATGAGACTACATTCACATAGTGGAAAATTACACAGCAAAAACAAAACACCTGCTAATACATGCAACAGCATGGATGGGTTCCAATGTACACATTATTGAATGGGGTGGGTAAAGACCTTTTGTTGAGTAAAAGCAGTCATATGCAAAAGGCTAAATACCTTGTTATTCCTGGTGTGACATTGGAGGATAAATAATGGACTGCTACTTCAAAGGCCAGTGGTTCAAATTTACCAGCCACTCCTTGGAAACCCCATGCAGGGTCATTGTGAGTTGGAAACGACTCAGTGACACTTAACATCAAATACTTATAGGTCATTTTGGAGAAGGCAGTTATAGAACAGTAATGGAAGTGTTTGCTAGGGAAAGGTATGTAGGAAAGGGACTGACTTACAAAACAAATCAGGAGGGACCTTTCAGGGGTGACAGAAATGTTCTCAAACATGATTAGGGTTGTGGTTGCATGACTATATAAAACCTCATCAAACTATACACTTTTAAAGACTGAGTTTTACTGTTTGTAAATTATAGCTCAACAAATCTGATTAAATGAAGCAATTTGCACATTAACACCCAGCAGGAGAGGCTTACTTACTCCTGGTCATAACTAGGATCTAAATCCTGGTGTTGTGTCAAGATAGACACTGCTCACGGTCCATAACACTGCTAAGTAGAGTGCTCTTGGGTATCCAGAACCAATTTATCCTGTTACAATCTTTCCTGACTGGTTTGTCGTTAAGTGCTGTTGAGTCAGTTCCGACTCATAATGACCCATTATAGGGTTTCTGAGGAACAAGTGGTAAGTTTTGAAGTGATGACCTTCTGGTTCAAACAGACCTTGCAGTCAAGTGCTTATCCTACAGCGCTACATAATTTCAAAATAAAGTAACAACCATCACAAACAAAAATCCTCAAATTCAGGTAGGTCCTAAAGATGAGAAGAACTAAGACCAGTGTAAGAAGCCCTGGTAGCGTAGTGGGTTACAGGAGTTTAGTGAGCTGGACTGCTAACCACACGCTCAATGGTTTGTATCTACCAATTGCTCAGCAGGAGAAAGATAAGGCTTTCTGCTCCTGTAAAGATTTCATCTCAGAAACTCTATAAAGGTTCGCTATGAGTCGGAACCGACTTCGTGGCAATCACCACCACCACCAAGAAGCCAGAGAACTTTCAGTATAACTTTCCTCATACTGTGCCCTGTGCCATCTCTTCTCTTTCCTGGCCACATGTTTAAGGTTTATTCCCAACAAAAGCTTCTGAACAAACAATGTGAGATAAGCAGCTGATCTTGTTTCTAAGAGCCACTTCAGCCTCCTCTCACCTCTGTGGTCAATATCATCAGTATCACTATCTGCTTCCTCATCCTCTTCATCCAAGGTTCCTCTGGTCAGGATCAAGTCAGAAGGGTCCATGACAGGAGATAAGCTGTCTACAGAAAACAGACAAGACCAATCAGTGACATATCATGAATAAACAACTCATAAAGGTGACTTTATTTCAGTAACTACAATTATAAGTTGGCAGGATGAAAGTAGTTGTGATAAATATCCTTATAAGTGCAGGGTCTTCTACACTTTTCTAAGTATATTGTTAATACCACTTAACATTTCTATAGTACATTAGCTCACAAAGTGCTCTCATGATCCCAATAACCCAAAGAGCCTGACTTTTAAGGTGTGAAAAAGAATCCCCCAACATCTTGCCTTGGTGGCAGAGTCATTCTTTTTTACTAGCTCATAGCTGGACAAGACTACAGGTTTTCTTATCAGGGAAAGACATTTGAGCAAATCCAGTGTGCCGGTGAGTCAAGAGTAAAAGTGTGCGGTACTAAAAAAGCTTCTTAATGGAAGAGGTCTGAAGAGAAAATGGTGAAATGATCCTGGGAGGAGGGGAAGGAGGAAAAATAGAAAACAATATGCTAATAGAGGTAAAATTCCTTATTCAAGGAAAAATGAGTAAAGGCCAAGTGCCAATAATCAGGAGAAAATCTGAGGGGACTGAAAATGTAAACTTTATGAGAACTTAAAACTATGGCAAGTGTCTTAAAGCCATGGAAGGATATAAACCGAAAGAGCCAAACCATTTGCCATAAAGTCCAGTCCAACTCATGGCAACTCCATGTGTGCAGAGTGGAACTGTGCTGCCTTTCCTCCAAGGCAACTCTAGCTGAGTTTCAGTCAATGTTGTTCTTGTTAGGAGCCATCAAGTCAGTACCAACTCATAGCAACTCTATGCACACCAGAACAAAACACTGCCCAATCCTGGACCAACCTCACAATTGTTGCCACAATTGAGCCCACTGATGCTGCCACTTTGCATATCCATCTCGCTGGGAGTTTTCCTCTTTTCTCTGACCCTCCACCTTACCAAACATGATATCCCTCTCCAGTGACTGGTCCCTCCTGATAATATGTCCAAAGTATGAGAGACAGTTTGGCCATCCTGGCCTCCAAAGAGCACTCTGGCTGCACTTCTTCCAACACAGATCTTTCAGTCAATAGTAGAGCACTTACCCATTTGTGCCACCCAGGGACTCCATGGAAGGGACATTACCACTCTCTCTATTCAGGAACCTAAGAAATTTGAAAGTGCTCAGAGAAGGAATAAGGCTAGCTCAAGGTCACAATTCTCAAGGGACTCCATGTGACTCCAAAAAAGGATAAAAACAGGGTGTGCTGATAGTCAATGCTTCATTATGAGCCCAACTACAAATCAGGCAGTTCAAATAATTTTTCCTCAAATTTACTGAAACTGCCCCAACCTTTACTACAGGAGGAGTTAGCAGGTTACGACTACAGCAGACGCTGTGGCAGATTTAGCATTTGCATTTCATGTATTCATGAATATTCCAAAGGAAATAGAAATTTATATTGCTGAGGTGAGCAAAATGGATGGAACAGGTGATGTTACTTAACTGGTATACCCAGTCAATTTCTAGCATCTCCTCCAAGTGGTTTTTGCAGTTCTCTATTGTTGTCAAGTCAATTCCTACTCATAGCAACCCTGTAAAAGGTTTCCAGGACTATAAATCTATGCAGGAGCAGAAAACTTCATCTCTCTCATGGAGTGCCTGGTGAGCACAAACTGTCAATTTTGTTCTTTTCAGTCCAGTGTATATCCTATCCTACTGAATCACCATGCTGCCCAGTTCGCTACTAGATATGAGTATAGCAAAACTTTCAGAAATTAACTATACTTACTACTTAAAGAAATATGTCTGAAAACAAAAAGCTAGTGATGGTGATAAGACAAAACCAAAGTATATTCAATTCAGTTGCAGAATGCCACTGAGCTGCGACAGACCTGCACTACTCTTCAGAGGGCAGCCCATCAATACACATGAGTGAATGGGAAGATTGGGGAGGCAGTGGCACAAGGTCCCAATGTATGTTGTTAGGTGCCACCGAGTCAGCACCAACTCAATGACCTTATGCACAGCAGAACGAAACAATGTCTGATCCTGGGCCACCCTTACTGCTGTTGCCACACTTGAGTCCATCAATGCTGCCACCTGGCCAACCCATCTCATTGGGGTCTTCCTCTTTTTCTCTGACTCTCCATCTTACCAAACATGACATCCTTCTCCAGCGACTGTTCCCTCCTGACAATATGTCCAAAGTATGAGAGACGAAGTTTGGCCATCTTGGCCTTTAAGGAGCACGCTGGCTGCACTTCTTCCAAAACAGACCTAGTTCTTTTGGCAGCCCATGGCACTTTTAGTATTCTCTTCCAACACCATAATTCAAAGGCATCAATTCTTCTATGGTCTTCCTTATTCACTGTCCAGCATATGAGGTTATTGAAAATACCATGGCTTGGGTCAGGC